TATTCTTTTAAGAAAAGAACAACGAGCTGTAAGGTCCTCGAGTAAAGTGCTACCCTATTCTAGTTATGAAACACTCTATAATTTAATCCCCCCGTCGACTTTTAACCGCAAAAATTAAATAGCATCAATTCCCTTATAAACAATCCTCTTTGCAAAATTTCATAAAATTTCGATAAATGATTAACGTTAATATGTTTTTAAAAGTTACGTATTATCAGTATTATAAATGTTTAAAAATTTAATAAAATATACTGTAACAAATTTAATCTGAAACTAGACAGTATTTGCGTCTAGTCGTGTCAAACTCAGTTTTCTAGTACAGTACAGTTAAATTTCAATTTAGAGCATTCCATTGCTATTTACGTAGGCTGGATCTAAATTGAAAGTTCAAACAATGACAGTTATATGTATTCATAGGATATACACACAAATTACAGTTTGACCATGCAAAATTAAGATCAGTAGGCTGCAATTGAAAAAATTTGCAGACCTATAAATTTCCACTTTTGAATGTCTGACAGTCTGTCCTTCATTAATCTCGAAAACGGAGGCAGATAGATAAAAGTCGAGATTATATATTAAAATGTTATGGGAGTAGGTCCCTAATCACTGTAAACGAACTTCCAGTCTACTCCAGAAATCACGTGAAAATTTGTTTTGGATGTTCTTTGCTTTTTGTCTGAGTGAATTTCAGAATACTGCGGTAACTATTTCGCTTTGGTGTCAAATTTTTTTAAATTTCCACGTTAGATTTTTATTACGTATTTTGATGACATAATGCTAAATGAAACGCTGTCATGTGCGTAAATTTCTTTTTGGAAAATATAATTGATTTTGATAAAAGATATACAGTCGACCCCCCTATAACACTGTTGATTATTCCGTTTTATATGAATTCCATGTTGTACGAGTCACTTAGATTTTACAATTGTGTGAACCGTTCACAGCCCGGCACACGTACTTGTAAAATCTAAGTGACTCGTACAACATGGAATTCATATAAAACGGAATAATCAACAGTGTTATAGGGGGGTCGACTGTATTAAAAAACCCGAAGTGTCAACTTTTCGCCTTTTTGACGTTTAATAAAAGAAAGTATTTTGACGTTTTCAAAACTATAATTTTGCTTTATAAAGCTAACAAGAGCTAGACAGCTCCTTTATAATATTGTAGAATTTGAAGAGATTGGTTAAATTACGATACGGTTATCCGAATTAAAAAAAAAATAGAACCAGATTTATGTTTCTCATCGCTACTAGATGACAGCACGTTACCTAGCTCTTCCACTGTCCATCCTATAACTGCATGCGCGGGTTCTGTACCAATTTTAACGAAATTTTGTTTTCATAGGTTCATAGGAAAGAAATATACTGATTATCAAGTTTAATAATACGACGTTTCTCGATAAGTTTAGAAGTGTGGTTATCACATAATTCGCAATGACACGCGATTTTGACCTACAGATATTTTATGAAAATTGTAGTTAAATTTTTTCTGAGAATAGTTGAATTAATTAAAACTATTCTAAGGATTATTAAGTAGATTTTTCTAACACGCGCGTATTGGATTTCGGACGGTCCGATAACGTAATTGTCACCATAAATGTTTTTGTAACGACGTTTTAAGTTCAAACAAATAAATTTACATAATTTTCGTGTCGGTGGTTCAACGGGAGACCTTATGCTCCCGTAGTTCCATTAAATCCTAATGATTTATTATATAAGCATAAACATTAATTTTCTACATTATATGAAAGTCAAAGAATGACATTTTACACTCTGAGTCTTCAAAATGATTCTACGTTTACTAGCCTAATCCGTGTATGTAATTTATAACTATAAACTTCTTATTAAGTGAAAAGAATTGTCTTTTCCATCAAAACAAACGCCGTTTATTTGTTAATTTATTACAGAACAAACACATGTAAGACTTGAGAAAAATATAGTTTATCCTCGATGATCGACATTATTCTGTCTATAGAAACATGTTGTAGCATAATACATCTTTAAAACAATAAAAAAATTGAAAATGAATCTTGGCGAATTTATTTACAGAAATTATAAATCATATGCCAGGACAGTGACTAACTCGAGTTCGAGCCACAGATTTCGTTTTATAATTTTAAATAGGGTATATTTTCATTTACAGGTTACTCTGACATATAAATATAGGCTTTAACTAAATAAATTTCAAAAATAAATACACATATAACGGAGGAGCTTTCCAAACAAAACAACTCGTACACGATATATAAAAGAGCTCCTAATTTATATAGTACACTGCAAAACGACAAGGATCCACTTCCAGAAGAAACTCAAGCATGAGTATACAAGATTCCAATAGTTAATGAAGAGCTTAGTTTAAAAGCGGCATATGTTTTACTGAGGAACTGAGTCAAATTTAAAAACTAGACTCGAACAAAACCAATAAGACGTAGAAAAAAAAAACACGGCCTTAGAAGCAATCCGGAATGNATACAGTCGACCCCCCTATAACACTGTTGATTATTCCGTTTTATATGAATTCCATGTTGTACGAGTCACTTAGATTTTACAATTGTGTGAACCGTTCACAGCCCGGCACACGTACTTGTAAAATCTAAGTGACTCGTACAACATGGAATTCATATAAAACGGAATAATCAACAGTGTTATAGGGGGGTCGACTGTATTAAAAAACCCGAAGTGTCAACTTTTCGCCTTTTTGACGTTTAATAAAAGAAAGTATTTTGACGTTTTCAAAACTATAATTTTGCTTTATAAAGCTAACAAGAGCTAGACAGCTCCTTTATAATATTGTAGAATTTGAAGAGATTGGTTAAATTACGATACGGTTATCCGAATTAAAAAAAAAATAGAACCAGATTTATGTTTCTCATCGCTACTAGATGACAGCACGTTACCTAGCTCTTCCACTGTCCATCCTATAACTGCATGCGCGGGTTCTGTACCAATTTTAACGAAATTTTGTTTTCATAGGTTCATAGGAAAGAAATATACTGATTATCAAGTTTAATAATACGACGTTTCTCGATAAGTTTAGAAGTGTGGTTATCACATAATTCGCAATGACACGCGATTTTGACCTACAGATATTTTATGAAAATTGTAGTTAAATTTTTTCTGAGAATAGTTGAATTAATTAAAACTATTCTAAGGATTATTAAGTAGATTTTTCTAACACGCGCGTATTGGATTTCGGACGGTCCGATAACGTAATTGTCACCATAAATGTTTTTGAAACGACGTTTTAAGTTCAAACAAATAAATTTACATAATTTTCGTGTCGGTGGTTCAACGGGAGACCTTATGCTCCCGTAGTTCCATTAAATCCTAATGATTTATTATATAAGCATAAACATTAATTTTCTACATTATATGAAAGTCAAAGAATGACATTTTACACTCTGAGTCTTCAAAATGATTCTACGTTTACTAGCCTAATCCGTGTATGTAATTTATAACTATAAACTTCTTATTAAGTGAAAAGAATTGTCTTTTCCATCAAAACAAACGCCGTTTATTTGTTAATTTATTACAGAACAAACACATGTAAGACTTGAGAAAAATATAGTTTATCCTCGATGATCGACATTATTCTGTCTATAGAAACATGTTGTAGCATAATACATCTTTAAAACAATAAAAAAATTGAAAATGAATCTTGGCGAATTTATTTACAGAAATTATAAATCATATGCCAGGACAGTGACTAACTCGAGTTCGAGCCACAGATTTCGTTTTATAATTTTAAATAGGGTATATTTTCATTTACAGGTTACTCTGACATATAAATATAGGCTTTAACTAAATAAATTTCAAAAATAAATACACATATAACGGAGGAGCTTTCCAAACAAAACAACTCGTACACGGTATATAAAAGAGCTCCTAATTTATATAGTACACTGCAAAACGACAAGGATCCACTTCCAGAAGAAACTCAAGCATGAGTATACAAGATTCCAATAGTTAATGAAGAGCTTAGTTTAAAAGCGGCATATGTTTTACTGAGGAACTGAGTCAAATTTAAAAACTAGACTCGAACAAAACCAATAAGACGTAGAAAAAAAAAACACGGCCTTAGAAGCAATCCGGAATGGTACGTACAAGAAACTTCGGTACTTTAAAATAAATCTAAAATCGTTAATAAAGTACACTCACTCTCGACAGCCACGAATAAAAATAAAATTCGTACTTTTTAACATAGAAATAAATGCGTTAATGCCAGAAACGTAAAACAATATCTAAAGGCATGGAGATAAGCTGTAAAATATACTTGAGACGAGTAAAAACACCTTGTAATAATTACAACACTATCTTAAATATTAATCAGTTACGTTATTGCATTAATTTTTTGGAGATAGTTTATTTTTATTATAAAAGTAATTTAGGATTTGAATATTAGAAAATTCAATAAATATGTTTTAAATTCCATTATGAATTTGAACTAAACAAACGTTCGATATTATGTTGTTTTTTTAGATTCGAACACAATTTCACAATTTTTTTCCTTCATTAACGACTGTGAAAACAGACTTTAACGTAATTTTTCAAGAAATTTGGCACGTGTAAACAAAAGATTACGTAAAGTTTCCAAGCAGAAAAGAATTTGCCAATCTTGCGAAGAGATTTTAAAATGAAATAGAACTTCTTTCATTGTCTTGATGCAATGAATGTAGTGAAGAAAAAATTGTAGTGAGACAGCGACAGATTTTCGACATAAAACTTTCACCACGCAAATCGGGATCACACATTATCTATGGAATGGCCATGTACAGTTTTCCAGAATTTATTCACTCATATAACGCATAAATAAGAACCACATTGCCTCTAAATAATGTTCTCGAAAAGCATTCGCTAAATAAATCGCCCACGTTATTCTTTGTATTTACTTATCAGAAATCAAAACAAAATAAAGTTAAAATATAAAATTACTTTTCATACGTAATTCTAAGCACGATCTGTGATTAGCGTGACGTAAGCATGTTTCTAATTGTAGCGTAAACAATAGATATTAATAATATATTTTCGGCCATTGTCGAAGCGGCTATTGTTCGATGCAAGATTATCGAATGCGAAATTGCTTTTGGAAAATAAGTTTAATGTGTAAGTTAAACTACATTTTTATTATATAATTATATTAACTGTTTATTAACGTGTCGAAAATGAATATATAAACATAAAATTAATAGTAGTTTTCGGTTAGATGTTTAACAATTCCAACAGAATATTATAGAATTATAAGAATGGCAAATATAGGCCTATTCTTACTGTTATTAACGATATTTAACTTTGCATTCATTTTATGCTTGAGACAATTATTGCATTAAACGTATTTTCTTCAAATAAATAACAATTTATTATTTCGTTTCCGCATCTTATCCAATATCTCAATATTGGGTACCATTAACACACATCCAATCATTTATTTGACCGGGAATAACTCTTCGGTAATCAATATTGCGTATTAATTATTAATTTTACGATTGTAACAATTTACACTTTTCACACAATTAATAATATCAAATTACAATATAATACAGTAGAACCTCCATTATCCGGACTAATTGGGGGATGAAGGTAGTCCGGATAAGGAAAAATCCGGATAATCGAAACAAACACTTTGTCTTTTAATGATAATACAAGACGTTCTCTTTTCGATGACATACCGGTTGTAATATTAAAAGTAAATACTGTATTTAAATCGTGATCAAATTTTCAAGATACAAACGTTCGTATTAAATTTGGACTACTGCTGGCCAACGCTAACAGACTACCTATTGTTTAAAAGGCCCTCTGGTGGCGCAAGAAGACGGATTTTATAAAATAAAAAGCAGTCGAAACTACACTTTTATGAATAAAAATTTGACAAACTATTTATCGTTTTATGACGAGTAAAATTTTTTCGTCGCGTTCGCGGCTTTTAAGTAATGCATAAACCTTCGAGGCGCGAGGCCCTTCAAACCGCCAGGCATAGGCGGTGGCCCACGTCGTCCATGCCTTACGCCGCCCTTGGTCATAGAAATGATGTAATTTGAATATAAATTATTTATAAATACGTATGTCAAGTTATATTTTTATTACTACGTAAAATATATTTAAGAGTTTACGACCACTGTGTGGGTGAGACGTTGTTGAAACAAAAAAAGTTGTGCATTCCATCACGTACATAAACAGTGCCGTAATTCGCCAAGTGCAAATCAGCAAATTCGTAAAATTTTTGTTTATTTTGAACAATCCGGATAATCGAAAATCCGGATAATGGAGGTCCGGATAATGGAGGTTCTACTGTATTTATACTTTATAACAGAAATAAATTGACTTTTGCTAAATTCTTAGTATTATTGCTGTGGATTTTCAATGGATATAATTTCCAAAATATGTTTTTACAATGAGAATTTCATCTGTTTATTTGGTGTAAACCGTTCGTCATTTCCTATATTTTTTCTCTTTGAAATTCTTATATAATTATTGAATTCACACGAAAAAACTTTAACGAATTGCTGTGTTTATTGCGTTTACATTTATTCTCTAGGTTCTGATTATAAAATGGACTTAAATAATACAAGTGAACACCCTACAATTAATGATGATGTTGGTGAGGAAGATGCTTTTATAAATATAGTGAATAGTATCATCCAATTAACATCTGCCATTAATGTTGATTTTCCGGGAGAAACAGAATTGCCTTCTTCTGTAAGTTACAATTCAATGTAAATAATTTAATAACTCTTATAATTTAAAGATTTAAAACTAAAAAATACAACACGAGAAATACACAATCTTATGGAAAGTGTTGTTTGTAATGACTGCAAATTCTTTATTAATTAATAAATGAATTTTTCCGAGTAATAAAAGAACATTTCGACTATTGTAAGATAATTCTATCAGGAATGAGAACTTTTCACTTTTTGCAGGATTCCGATGATGAAGAGGAAGATGATTTCTGGTTTTTGGAAAGTACTCGGTCAGAAAACAGACCTTTGAAGAAGGAGTTTGTATTTTTAGAGGAGCATTCATTAGTGAAAAAAATAATATATGAAGAAAACGAAGAAGTGGAGGTGTTGGTTGAAGGTGAGGTTACAAAAATGATTATAAAGAATTTTAAAATAATTTGTTAAAAATTATTAAGAAATTTTTTAATGTTAAACTCATTCTGTTTGAATCTATTTAATTTATAAAACTTAATATTGGTAATCCATTTGCAGTCTTTCACGTGTGTTGTATGTGATAGTTTATTATATTCGAAACAATTCAAAAACGGATCGTTCATTTCTACAAAAATTCCATTTATTTCGTCAAAAACACTTTCGAAAGATGATTTTTGTTACTGTTTAACTAATAATTTCAACCACATTATATAAATATTCAGCAGTAAACATGATTTATTTGCAGTAAACCAAGAAACAAAATAATTGCAACAAACTCGACTTTAACATTGTATGGTTCATTGTCTCGGCCACTTCTCGTATCAAATTAAATTGAAAATTAATTTATCACCCTTCAAAGTATATGTCGAGAAATTTCCAATAATTTTAATACAATTGTATGAATTTTATTTTTCCGGCTGTTATAATATTTTACCTTGGAGGTTTCTGGAATGGTTGTGACACCTCCGTATAGAAAAAGTAAAGAAACGAAGCCCCGAAATATGTGTGTGTGTGTTTTCACGTCTATTTCGTTTAATATCACTGAACAGATAAACATTACAAACCGAAATTTGCACGGTAACTTGTTTAATAAGGGAAATCGTGGACATTCAATTTTGATGGCTGAAGGTAATAAATACAAGTGGGTCACCCATCACGTCTCGAGAATAATCGGTGTTTATGAAGATTTTACACGCTTTTCGCGCTTACAATTTCCTATACAACTCGTTCCTATTTTCAAACTTAAGCTTTCTCTGCATTCTTTGAGTGTGTGACGTAAACACATAGTGTACAAATATAAAATAAACGCTCGTAGAACTCAGACATCGAGAACTAAATTTGAATTCTATTGAAATGTAACGCAAAAATTGAATATAATTGTTTGTATATAAACTTGCTGGAATTATAATTACCGACATTCTGTGTAATTAATAAAAGTTGTAGTCTACGCCTGTATCCAAATACACTTAAAAAACAGACAATTCGTAAAAGGTACGCAGAGATCTGTATTAATGTGGAGTGTATTATATTTTTGGTGTTTTGGTGTATTATCGATGTAAGAAATCCGATTTGACATTTATTAACATAGTAATTATATCGCATTACCTCACTGTTTACACAATAATACTATTTTCTAACTTACTATACAGTTTATAGAGAAATATAGAGATATATTTCTACATAAACTTTTTAGACTGATGCATTTTTTTACATTGAATGTGTTTGAATAGGTGTATGCATTACGATATAAAATTACATAAAGGTATATTCTTAAATGATTTTTGTAGAAAAGAATAAAAAGAGAGAGATGACGGTAGAAAATAAACAGTTGAAAGAATTAATTCAAGTGGATAAGAGAAGAAAAACTGATGATAGATTTGCATACGAAAGTCAATCAAATGATGATAATGAAGTAAGAAAATATTTCCTAACTTTTCCTAATTTATATTGATAGCATACACTGAAATTATTCGGGTTATAGAGTTTATGATCGATATTTCAAACTATTATGAGTATAAGAAAATTGTAAATATTACTTTGAGAATAACCAAAATTTCCAAAAGACAGATTAAAATATTCAATTATTAAAGAATTTTGTGTTACAAGCGAACACTTCATCATTTGTTCTTGTCGTTGATAAAATCCGTTTAGTTTGATTGAAGTCTATTTCTAAATGCCCAACATTTAAATTTACTTTTCATATTGATGCATTTTTATAAAATCAACAGAAGACAATGTCTTCTTAATAGGAAATTTTGAGTTAATAGAAAACATATTCTTTTTCAGTATTTATTGTAATTGTACTGACAGTACTTACGTAATATTATTTTATAACCACATTGTAATTTGATCCTGCAATTAATTTAATCTTCATATTTTATTTACGAAACATTTCTATTATTTGCAGGAAACAACCAAATGTTTCGGTGGTTTTGTGGAATTTTTCCGCAGATTTAAGTCTATCATCTGCTCTTGTTTAAAAAGTAAAAAGTAAAATAACAGAATGTAGACCTTCGTCTACATTTTTTTTGTTCAGCTGAAAAAAAGGAAAAAAATGTTAAATTTTTAAAAATATTATTAGAAAAATTTATTGTTCTTACAATTATAACGAAGGCAGATTACAAAATTTACTTGTTCAAAATATTTGGTGTGCAACTTTAATCGGCAGGCGCCCTGGTATCATCTGCTCTGTACTTTCGGCCCAATTATCAATGCTTAATAATAACAGAGCAAAATATAATTACTATTGCATTCGGTTGAAATTTTATGGAAAAGTTTAAAAAAAATTCGAATGAAGTAAAAATGAAATTCCACAATAACAACTTTCAGAATTGTACAAATTACATTTTTAAAAAGATTTACAAAAATGTTTGGAAGTATTAATCAAACAATACAAGAAAATTCAAAATTAAAATATAAATCTTATAAAAACCAACAGATCTCATTAAAAACGACGAAAAAATTTAATGTCACGGCAATAAAAATTTTTTCTACAAACAATAAAGAAAATTAATTTCGTGGAGACGTTATCAAAATGCTTGTGTCTGAATGGAAAGAAAGCGAAGGTTATCAGAGAATTTGTCAAGGTGTTCCTTCGTGGAGGCATAATCACAATACTTGTCTCTGCAAGGAAAAAAGAGGAAGTCATCAAAATGAATTGCCATGTTGTCCTTTCGTGGAGGCATAATCACCGTACTTGTCTCTCCAAGGGAAAAAGCGAAAGACATTAGAAGGAATCGGCAAAGTGTCCCTTCGTGGAGGCATAATCACAATGTTTGTCTCTGCAAGGGAAAAAGCGAAAGACATAAGAAGGAATTGGCAATGAGTCCCTTCGTGGAGGCATAATCACCATACTTGTCTCTGCAAGGGAAGAAAGCAGAAGTCATCAGAAGGATATGTCTAGGTGTTCCTTCGTGGAGGCATAATCACCGTACTTGTCTCTGCAAGGAAAAAAAGCGATGGTTATTAGAAAGAAATGTCTAGGTGTTCCTTCGTGGAAACATAATCACCGTACTTGTCTCTGCAAGGAAAGAAACCAAGAAAATGGCAATTGGAATAGTAATACAGAAATCTGTTAGCCTTCTATCATAGTTAGATTAAGTAACAAAATAATGAATCGTGACACGAGAAATGCTATTTTTCGCGAAGAAGATAAAAGCTTCTTTTTAATGAAATCTTTAACGCATCAGCAAAGTTTGTTTTTTGAATCAAACAAAGAGTTTCTTCCATTTGATCTCAAAGAATGGAATCCGTGTTTAAATTTGAAAAATCAAATTGGAATGCACACCTTTTGAAATCTATTTATATGCTTTTCTCTATGAAAATGTTTTATCTTTGGTTTATTATTATTATTTGTAAAAATTATTACCATGATTGCAACTAAAGTCGTTAGTATTTGTGTTGCGTTTTTCACACAATAAATTAATGTGCCTTTCAAGTGTTTATTGTTCAATTTATTATAAAGTATATCCAAACAATTTTTAAATTTTTTCCACGAAATATAAACAACAAAGAAAATACAATTTTTGTATACAAATATAATAATAATTTCAGTTATTTGGGTGTGTATAGCATACGAAATAGATCATGATATGACAGTTGAAATGCGTTTAATGATATTCTAATATATTCTTTATATAATATTTTCCACAGACATCAATTGCGTACAATAATACGTATAGATTAGTGTACACTAACAAATAGGAAATAAATTTGTATAATTAATACAATTAATGTATTTATTAAAGGAAAATCTGTCACTCATCGATCGATAAAAAAGTTTTAAAACGATTTACAAAAATTCAAAAACATTGAATGGGAACCGGGTGTTGTGTAGTGTGTGGCTACAAAATTAAAACGTTGCCATACACGAGAGTGCACGTTTACTTACATTCGACGAATTGGTTGGGAAAAGCAATACTTTGTCGTAACTCTGGCAGATTTTTTGGCAGACACGTTAACGTAGACAACATCGTTGACATTTCCATAGGGAAAAGCCAGCAATATATTTTGTAGCGATTTGGAGGAATCTTTACTAATATGTGTGAGGAAATTCCCTCATGATAGAATTTCTGTCTGCTTGCGCCAGTTCGTTATATGCGTTTCTCTGGGATGCTGGTCACGTTGTAACATTAGCTCTCGTTAACGAAAGAAAAATGCACAATTCCTGGTGTTAGTTTATAAATTTTTTTAAAACTGTTCCCGTCTTACGCGCACTAAGAGGGCATCTTTTAGCAGGCCCATTATGGGTCCGGCCAGGCCCACAATGGGGCGACAGGCTAGTGAGGGACGGGACCCGACATATCCGAACGGACTAACCTTCGTAAAATTACTGGGGTCTCGACTCGTCCAGATTCGATCCCGGGACCCCAGAGCGATAGGCTGCCACTTTGACCACTCGGCCATCCGGCCGTCAGTTTACAGAGTTATCTATTTGTGGATGGCTCACAAATTTTTCTCTAATATGTAGTTTGTTTGTATTAATTACGTAAATTTTTTCCATTTATTTAGAATCATGCATTTATACTGAAGAAAGATCGTTCGACCCTTCGAATCCAAAATACTGATTTCTTCGATTACCGGTTTTCCCTTTGTTGGCACAGTGATAGCGAGCGTACGCTCGTATCACTGTGCCAACAAAGAACTGTGCCACTGTGCCAACAGCGTACAGAACTCTGTTGAGTTCTGTACGCTGTTGACAGAACTCAACAGAGAGAGCAGTCACGGTAGCAGGAGAGAGCGGGTAACACGCGCAATATCATTATACAGCCAAGAACGGAAGTACAGGCATGCCAATTTTAAATCAGTTATGTAATCTTGTGTTTAAAGTTTCAACAAACCTAATATTTGCAAAATACTCACAAATATTTTTATAAATTTATTTTTTTCATCATAATTATACAATTTTCACAAAAATTGGACGAATAAATAATTAATCCGAGTTATTCATTTGAAAACTAATCTGGCGGCAACACTATTTGCTAATGTCCAATGACGCAGCACGTTTACTGGAGCCAACGTTGTATAGATTGCGGCTGTTTGTTTCTCACATAGCTTACATAGCAGAAATGGGTCGTAGCCGCGGGGGGAGAAAGAGGGTTTTAGAGCTCGTCTAAGCGTATGTCAGCTGTTGCTTCCTCTAGTTTGCAGCGGCTTTTTCTGATGAATCGTTTGTGCTGTAGCTGGCGGGGAAATGTCAACTTAAATTTGGGACACTTTATTTGTATTCTGGCAGTTGCTACTTGTTTCTTGTACACGCGTTCATGCGTTTTTATTTTTGCAATATCTAATTTTTTGGTTATGTTAATTATTTATTTTGTAAGTGATCACCTGTTCGATTTTTTTTACAGAACATAATACTAATTGAATGTTTTTTAATAGCATAATATAGCCGTAACCTTAAATACATAGATAAAATCATTTCTTTCAATACACATGTGAGAAAGCCAAGGATCATTACTTCTATCGTGTTCAATTAAACTTTTAAACACATCTTTAGAACATTTTGCACAATCATCTTGAATGATTTCTCAATACTAACAAAGTTAGTTCTAATGTTCCTAAGCTGTTTTGACTGAAGCAATAAAAAAGCAAATATTGTTGCTTTTTCGTCTCACCAATTATACCAAATAAGTTAGGAAAATATATTTGAAGTTTAGACTATTAACAAAAATATAATACTTTCGAGTCTATCTTTATCCTTTAATCCACCACAGAAGTGTCAGTTACAATGGTTTTGAAGAATTTAGGTAAAAATTTCACAAAGTTAAAAACGATCTGCTTTTATTAGAGGATCTGAGTACCTTCACATTAAAACCAAATAAAATTCTTGTCACCATATTATCCTTATCCAATTTATAACTGATTCAATTCTGGTGGTACGAGTTATCCACCTCATTTGCATATGGTTACAATTTTCATGTTAACTCGGGACATTATCTTCATATAATTGAACAGTTAGGAAAACATTTTATGCAAGCTGTAAAACTCAGAAAAGCTATTTTTCGATTTTATTTTCAAATCAAGTTTTTGTTCTTATCATGCAAATTTCTTAAATAATCTGCTATTGCAAAATACTTGTTTCAGTCTTTTACATTGTTAGTTTGCATTGGGGCTTTCTATTCCTATCCATGTGAAATGCTTGCATTTGTAACATAAAATAGATCAATAAGAATCCTTAAAACTTTTACTATTGCACCAAAATTCCCAAAGTGTAATAAGTGCAAATGTTTCTCACAATATTCAGTTGCAACTGAAACAGAAACACTGAGTATTTTTTCTGCATATTTTACTTTCGTTTTGTTCTTATAGCATAGAATATGTGCAGTTCTAAGCTTATTTCCGAGATGAAGGCCATCCTTTTCTTGCAGGGGATCTCCTCACTTCCTCCATATGAAACTTCTGCAAGCGTGTTGCATTTTAATCATAGTATATATGAAGGATCAAAAGTGATGTGGATTAGTTGGTTTTCACTATTTACGTGTAAAATATGATGGTTGCATATTCTCACTATCAATAATGTCTCCAAGTGTATTCAACACTACTGGCCCACTCATGGAGGGTAAAGGATTTGGCAACAGCTTTCACATCATCTAGTTTCATACAGCACTGATTAACTAGTTATGCTTTTTGTACTCCAGAAAAAGAATTAATTAAAAAGTAAGCAATTAAAGCCAAAAGGGCTCTTTTATAAAAATTCACGTGTATATATACACAAGCATTCTTTTCGAAAGGAAGTGTGTCGTCATGTATATTCAACCCAATATATACATAACTTGTAGTACTTTTCTGATTATATTTAAGAAATGAACATAAACTAACTATAGTTATAGCCTACAGTAAACACAATAATGAACTTATTAATTACGTAATTAATAATTTGGTGCAAAACAATATAGTTATAACAATATAATTATGCAACATTACAGTATTTCTAATAACATTACAATGGAATTATGTAAAAATAATTATTTAAATTTTTTTGAGATTTAAAATTATGCTACTCCATTATATTCTAAAACATTAAACATGAAAAGGCATAGAATTTACCATAAAATCGATAAAAACTTACAGTTATGAATTATTATAAAATATGTGTTACTAAAGTCCTAATGTTGCAGATTAATAAGCAATGAATAACAGATTTAATACAATTAAATTTTTTCTATCACCGTTGCCTTAAATTTATGAACAGAGCGTAAGTTCCACATAATTTTATGAATAAAGGTTAATAACTATAAAGGGTGCTTAAGCGTGTTGTGTATTATTTATCTGCATTCCTGTACATTTTGTTTTTTTTTTCAAAATTC